GATATTGAACTTTCCAGTCTAAGAATATTCTGCAGATGAGATGTAGAGATAGAGAAAGGGGGAAAAAAAAAAAAAAAAAAAAAAGAATATCTTAAGGCCAGGGAGCAGTAGGATGCACAGTAATGCGTCAGTATGGGGAATCAGAGTTTATTTCTATTATCTTATCAGGGTTATTATGTTAACAGTGCATCAGGATTGTACAATGCTCAATTTTTGTTTGCTTTCATGTAATAAAAGAAATGGTTGGCCGGGCGCGGTGGCTCACGCCTGTAATCCCAGCACTTTGGGAGGCCAAGGCGGGTGGATCATGAGGTCAAGAGATCGAGACTATCCTGGTCAACGTGGTGAAACCCCGTCTCTACTAAAAATACAAAAAATGAGCTGGGCATGGTGGCACGTGCCTGTAATTCCAGCTACTCAGGAGGCTGAGGCAGGAGAATTGCCTGAACCTGGAGGCGGCAGTTGCGGTGAGCCGAGACTGCGCCATTGCACTCCAGCCTGGGTAACGAGCGAAATTCCGTCTCAGAAAAGAAAAGAAAAGAAACGGTTGATTCTAATGAGCCATTGTGTTCTGTTCTCTTACTTGATGGGTCCCACTTTTTCTACTAAAATTTAGTTCCAGCAGAAGTGTGGCTTCCAGTTGTTCTATGGAGGTGCCTTCAGGGACCACTTCTGGAAAAGGCAGCTAGCTGAAGCTAGAACAGGCAGAAGGAGTTCAGCTAGACCAGATCTGACTTAATCTGTTCCAAATAAGATTTTACTTGAAAATATGGTTTAAAACTTACTGTAGTAGAATAGGCTCTAGGCTCTATTTTGGATCAAAGCTTACTACCTTGAAATAACTGATGGTGTCGTGTTTTTTTTTTGGAGACAGAGTTTTGTTCCTGTTGACCAGGCTGGAGTGCAGTGGCACAATCTCAGCTCACTGCAGCCTCCGCCTCCGCCTCCTGGGTTCAAGTGATTCTTCTGCCTTAGTCTCCTGAGTAGCTGGGATTATAGGTGTCCGTCACCACGCCCAGCTAATTTTTTGTGTTTTTAGTAGAGACAGTGTTTCATGATGTCGGCCAGGCTGTTCTTGAGCTCCTGACCTCCGGTGATCCACCCACCTTGGCCTCCCAGAGTGCTGGGATTACAGACATGAGCCACTGTGCCTGGCTGAAGACGTTCCTTTCTAAGAGGAATCCTCAGCAGATAAACTGGATTGTCCTCTATGGAAAAAAGCTCAAAAAAGGGACACTTTGAAGAAATTCAAAAGCAAAGAACCTGCTGAGCAGTCGAATTCCAGAGAGCCGCTGCTGGTGCATCTCTTGCTGATACAGTGGCCAAGGAGAATGAGAAACCTGAAGTTAAAAAGGCTCAATGAGAACAGGCTAGCAGGGCTGCTAAGGAAGCAAAAAGGCAAAGTTAGCATCTAAAAAGGCAGCATCTACGCAAAAGATTGTGAAGCCTGGGAAAGTGTCAGCTCCCCAGTCGGTGGAAAACACCAAGTTGACAGATCAGATTCTTAAATAAAGATTGGACTATAGAAAAGTATAAATTATATTACCTAACATTTGAATGACGTATTTTATTTTTTCAGAGGACACATGGTAGGTTATATTGTGCTTTAGAGCCTCTTCTATAAATACATACAGTAATTAAAACAAAAAAACACCAAATGCTCAACTTAAAGCTTAATTGATAAATTATTAAGACACTGTCAGAATCTATTGCAATCATTAAATCTTAAGGTACTTTCAGAATCCATAGGTGAAAAAGGTTTAATGTAGCTTAGTGCTAAGTTTTGCATTACTCATATTTTCTTCTAGCGTTGTTAATATCTGGCGTTCATTTCTTAACCCTAAGGTCTTCTGGCTGTAAAAAGGCTGTGGGAGTTTTTTGCCTCTGAGGTTTTTAAAAATATATATTTCATTTTCAATTAAGTCAGGATATAGGAGTAACACAGAGAAAGTAAACATTTGAACAATTTCAGTGTGTTTCCTACTCAAGACTCTGGAACCAGACTGCTTAGGTTTGGATCTCTGCTCTGTACTTAACAGCTGTGTGATATTGGGCCGTTTGTTTTTGTGTGCATGGTGTATAGGGCATATGAGAGAATGATAGGAAACAAGAATGGGGCCAGGTGCAGTGACTCACGCCTATAATTTCAGCACTTTGGAAGGCCAAGGCAGGCAGATTACATGAGGTCAGGAGTTCAAGACCAGCCTGGCCAACATGGTGAAACCCCGTCTCTATTAAA